TTTTTCTCACTTATCATTTTTCCGGTGAAACTATAAAATTGTGTAATTTTTCTTCGTTTCTCCCCACTGAAGATTTATTGGCTTTTCAAAGTGTCAGCGTGGAACTGAAATCGCATTTATCAAACTATTATTAGATTTTTTTCAATCCCAATACTATTCGATTAACAAAATTAATCGCCAATGTTACATTATAATATCGTAATTTATATAATAAAAAATATATCTATTGAATCTTAGTAATTTTCAATTACGTGATTAAATGATATATTTTTAAATATAGTTAATACTAATTATTTAAGTGCATAAATATCTAAAATTTGGAAATCTTATAAATGAAATTGTTTCTTTAGTTTACATGTTTTCGAGCAACCCAATCTAATACAGTATTCCATTGACGATTTTGAATACTAGAAGATGATTATGCTGAAGTCATGAAAATAACACTTCTTGAGATCGTTAACCCATCAGGTACTTGCAACTGCTATCATAAAAGTGCAATCCAGATAGCGGAAGGTGTGATAATCCCATTTAACAATAAGGATTTTACAGCCAGCGCTGTAAACTGCGCTCAATGAAACAGCACATCCTGAATACAAATGTACTAGTTTCATTTCTATACCAAAACATCTTATAGTATAGTATACAATATATACAAAATTTATGAATGTTTCTATGTTTTTAGTGGTTTTAAATAATATTTTACTATTATATTATTAAATGTGTCTAAATACGTATGAATTATTAAAAAAATATGATAATAAATTTTTAATAATAAATTTGTAGAAATATTACAATTATTTATTAATTACAAATTAATGTTATTATACAGATAAAATAAATTATTGTTTGATATTATTTTAAGGTCACAAAGGGATACGAAAGAGACATGTGTTTTGTCATAAGGAACGTGTTCTAAAAATAGGTAAACGTATTAAAATAATTATTTTTAACAGAAGATGACAATACTTATTTAATTTATATACAATTATTAACAATAACTAACATGATACTAACATAATAAGTTTAAATTTCATTGTAATTTGTAAAATGATTTTTTTTAATACTGTCGAATACTTAGAGATTCAATATTAAAATAAAATGAAATAAATTTCAGAATTTGATGGTTTCGACATGATTATTTTCAGATGTTGGGTGAAAATTGAAGTAAATAAAAAAGAAACATGATAGATGGAACATATTTGATTTGAATTGCAGACTTGGGACAATTGAATTTGCTTATTTATTTTGTTCGTCTCGATTCCCCTTTAGTTCTCCTTTCTGTGTGGTGGAAATAATGGTAGCCACTCGAGAAGTAGAAGTGATATCAATAAAAGTCGTTCGTCGGCATGAAGGGAAAAGTCTACGAGATCGTCCAGTTGAAGAAAGTTCGCTCCTTACACTATATCAAGTTGTTTTACTTTTGTTATTTTTTTTGTCTGTTTTCTTCTCCCTTTACTTCCAGATATGGCCCGACGCTCCATCCAATAATATTAACAATTACAAACACTCGTAACTAAAGACGGCAAACTAGCAGTAAACAACCGTAAAACGGAAAATATCGCCACCGTTTTCAATATAATTGGATAAGCTTGTGGACAACAACAAAAAAGAAATAAGATAATAAAAAGATATTGCATTTTCGACATCGAATTGCAATTTTCGCAAGTTATTTTATTATCATTTCGCATGGAAACACCTACTGGAAATTGCGGTGAACAAACTTGAGTGAAATTAAATCTGGAAAGCTTAATTTAGCGAGGCTAAATTTGGTCACTGCCTAAGCCTGAAAACAAACAAAGCGGAGTGCGCTCTAAGCCTAAGTTCAACAGAATTTCAGAAAGTTTGATTTATAGCGCTATTTTTTAGTCATTGGCTCCTTCTTATTTGTGGTCTCCTCGTTAAGTGGTGTAAGATCGATTTTCGCTGTGCGCGATGCAAATCGCTGATTAATAATTGAACGAAACTTTTCAATGTACGTCATTCGGTGGTTCATGGGGGTACTCGTATACATAGAAAAATCGGCCGGTCGAAACGCAAAAGTTTATTAATAGAAAATGTGGAACGAAAACGCTATAAATACACACGCGGATTTTTCTACGACGCCGGCAACTTTTCGGTACAAAAATTTCCCGTCCGCTGAGATTAAATTTTCTTATCCTAATGAAAGAAAGCAGCAACGAAATATAGATATATAATGAAGCAGATTAGAGTTGCGATTAGCGAGTGGAAAAGTTTTATTAATATCCTCGTGACTATATTTTTGTTGAGAAGGAAAAGCGACCCGGCGCATCCACCATACATTAAATTTTCCATTCCATGCTATTTTCGGTGTCCGGTAATTTTCGATTATCGATTCGTCGCTATTTATTTTCCCTCCACAGTTGTGTCTCTCGTGCAAGTAATTGCCGACCACTTTACTTTATTATCCGCTCTTATTGATGGAATATCGAACGTCACAGACATACTTTTATTTATTTCCACTCTCGCGTTATACAACCGCACGTTCTCGTCCTTCTATTTTCAGGCATTATACAAGATGTATAATTAATGGACTTTGTGAAATAGCAGGCTGAATGCAATCCCCACGCATATACCATCCATCTATCCATCTATCCACACAAATTAAAGGGCGCGCTTCAAATGTGGAGAAAACTTTTCCACGCCAAACCGTCATTTTCCACTTTTATTTTCTTGTTCCTAGTTTCAATTAGTTTCCTTCCTTTTCATTTTTAACACGCAACTATTTTTAGAAGGTCCGAACTTATTTTTACCTGCCGTGGTGGTTCGATAACCTTGATTTCCCTGATTTTCACATTATCGACACTTCTTCACCGGCACGCAATTTAAACTACATTGAGGGTAAACGCGTGCTACGCCTTCCTTTTTTGCTCACCACTTCTTTTTTTACGCGTCGCGGGATGTCCAATTAAAATGGGGTTTATTGCCTTTGATAAAACCCACCACTGCGCGAATCGGATTAATGCGTGCGATAATTTTAATCTGCGTATACTAATTAAAGTCAGCATTGCTAAAATTCCAAGTATTATTCAAATTGAACTCAACCACATACAAGCTTCTTGTATACAAAATGCTCTTCTATAGTATGTATAAATATGTCAAGAGAAAACTTTCTTATTAAATAAAATACTAACAATCAATGAACACTAGTAGCATTTAGAATTTAAATTTCTATTTTGTGAATCAAATTTCATTGAAAAAACATCACTTAAAACTTAATTTTAAATTTCCTTTTTCAATAGTTTTATTTAGTTTTTTGTATTTAGTCGATTTAATCAATCGAATGTAAATAAAATATAGAGAAAAATTTAATACTGTATAATCTTCATGGAATATCATTGTGTAATCATTCAAGTAAATTGCTTTATTTTCCCAAAGAAATATTTAACAGAAAACCGTATATAGATTTATACTCGTCATATACAAACAAATCGTCTTAATACGACCATTCGAATGGTATTTCTGTATCTATTATTTGTCAATGATGAAAATGTTGATATTAAAATCCAATTACTTGAATAAATCCAAATAGATTTTTTAACGTCCGACGTATTTATGATCGTCGATATAAATTCTCGGAGTGGTTTAGATTAAGATCTTCCTTAATGGAGGCGAGGCTAGTGTAGTGTATTATATGTATGTATGTAATGGGACCGTTCTTGTCTTTCCTCCGCTTGATAAAGCTTTAATGTGCAATTACCGGTTATTGATTATGGTCTCTACTTGCGTAGCAATAAATCGCCGATTTATTGGGCAGATCTTCCAATAACCGGTCATATTTGTCAGTCGATTATCCCGGGTCCTTAACTAATTAATTCTATCCCTGCAGTTCACGTTACTATTTTGACGCAATTTAATGGTCCAAGTTAAATTTGATCCCGTATCGGTTACACGATATATATCAATTTAATTACTTATTTGTTCCATCTAAATTCACTAAATTTAAACAACAAATTACAGCATCTAAATTACATGTGCAGAAATGTCAGAAAATGCACTAATTCATACAAACACGCAATTCAACAATATATGGACTGTTGTAAACAAAACATTTGTAAAAACATAATAAATAAACTTTATTTTGATATTTTTTTAATCTAATCGCTTTCTATTTTTACTTTATAATTATAAATATTATGAAGTATATATAATCATAATAATAATAATAATAAAATAAAAATATATTTATAGTCATATAACGTGTTTCATAAAGATTATATTTATTTTAATAAACACTTTTCATATTAGTTAATGAAAGCCTTGTGTACATTTAGTTTAACATAAATTAGCAATTTGTATACTTCACAGTTTAATAAGTGCCCGTTTTTAACTATAAAGTATACATTTATTGCTTAAGATTTTTTTATAAAAATATTATTTATTATATTATTTCTTCTTCAACGAAAATATAATTTTGTTAAAATTGACTTATTGTCAAGTTCCTTTAAATTGATTATTGTTAAATTTAACTATAATTCTGTTATTATATCACTACAAAGTTAACATAAAACTAGTTATTTTTATCATTAGAAGATGTAGAATTTTGCTAAATTTGGGATTTAACTTATAGGCATTTTATTGACCGAAATACTACAATTATATTTTACTGATGTCTGTAAAATGTGTTGATATTATTTTTATATTGTTATCTTATAAAAAAAAAGTATCTGGGATGATTCTGATATGTGTGCCAGAGACGTGTTTATGTTGTGGCCATTATCGGTCGGTCTACGGTCGTTATGCGAACGATCTCACCCCCTGCGCGTTTCTCGTGGATAAAAAAAGAGGACGAAACCACCTTCCTCGATCCACCTTAGGCAATGGTCGATAGCTGCCCATGTCAGCAGTAACGAGCGCAACTTACGCGTCCTGAGCACCCGCAGCACCGTCAGCGGGTGGCCGATAACAATCCGTGCTCGGAGCATAGTTATAATCGTTGCAATAATGTTAATAGCAGCCGTAGCAACAGTAGGAAGTGTCTAATGGTCGTTTCCGGTTTTCCGGTTTCCTCTTCTGTTACAGAGTGTCCGCCCGGGGATGACGGCATGGAACGTTTCGGATGCCCGACGCCCGATAGGCAGGGTCGCTTCCATTGCATAGACGACCACGTTCTATGCGATGGATTCATAGATTGTCCATCCGGCGAGGACGAGGAACGCAAGAGTTGCATGTTCTACAAGACGGTAAGAAATTATACTATTCTATTCTTTATGATAAAAAAAAACTAGTTTCTTTTTTAATCTACCAAGCACAAAATAGAAAATCGGCATAATTTGCAAATGCCGTTTTATGAATTTAATTCTTCAAAATATCCTCAATTTTATCTAAAACATAACAGGCGTATACATCAACTTCTTAAAATTAGATTTTTGTACATATTTTTTATAAATATTTTTCAACTACAAAAATTATAAGAATTAAATATTGAATGTCCACTTGCTTTTGTACTAGATACAAAAAAATTAATATATTCACTGACATATTTAACGTGAAGTAAAAAGTTTTGAGCTTCTTTCGTTAGATGGCTTTAGTGAGCCATTTCTCAACATGTATACGTTGCATCTTGTCATTCTATGACTTAAAGGTGACATGACGCTTTCTTTGGCAGTTTTGTGTTTAGTGAATCCAGTTGTGTGTTAGAGCGTTGCAAAATGAAGGTAGAAAAGACAAAATTCGATACATTTTTCAGTACCACTACGACCAACGGAAAAGGCGGAGCAGACGGCCAAAAAAATGTTGTTTATGAACCCAATACAGTATCGAATGCAATAGCAAAGCGTTAGTTCCAACGCTTCCGTTCTGGTAATAAGGACGTCGAAGATGATACAGGCCAATCGTCAAAAATGTTGATAAAATCTTGGAAATCTTTGGACCGGTATGCGAGCACTTATTCCATTGTCAGATTAGCCAGAAAATCGTTTGGAACCATTTGCATAAGGCTGATATCAAGAAGAAGCTCAATGTATGGGACAAAACGCTCAAAACTTTTTACTTTACCCAATATTAATTAATTCTCCTATTATTTGAGATATATATTTTTATACTAAGGGTTTCATTTATTTATTGAACAAATTATCATATTATTAAAAGTATTTTCTCAAAAAAAAAGAAAACTTATGGTTTGACCATAAAACAAATCTACATACCCAATACTAGATGTTACGAAATTCATGACAATAAAGACAATTCTAGCATTGAAAGAGTTCAACAAAAGGTTACTGGGTTAATTTTATTTTAGAATAAAATTCGGTAATATTTATTGTGAAAAATGTGAACAAAAACAAACGTTAATTTACATAAAGAATGCATGATTATTTGTATTTCTTGAAAAGCTGCGTCACAGCCATAATAATATTATATTTATTGAACCACAAATAAAAGTTAGAAATGATGCATGTTAAAAGAATATCCTGAAGTTTCCATTTTTGCATAAAACCTGATGCCAAGTTGCGGAACAATATATGATATCAGGTTATAAACTTTTCCCTGAAATATTATTGTACATTGTAGCTTTTTTTGTAATTTATATATATTGTATCAATAGTTAGATACTAATTATCGTTAATTTAAAGTGCTGTTTTATATATCTAAAATAAATTGCAAATTTGGTCGAGCTTTCAATGTAATTACTATCAACTGTTATTTGGAGTGTATATTTTTGAAAAAAAATTGCGTTCCATTCCAATCATATATTTTTTTATTACATTTATTTATTTTTGCCGGCTTCCGGTGATCGATGCCACGGGCGACACGAAACGTACATTTTCATAATTCCGTCGCAATTCCATTCCGGCTGGATATTCCACCGGGAATTCAATCCGCTTTTATCTCGGAATCCAACTTTTGACGAAAATAGATGAGAAATTCCCGTGATTGTTTCTTCCATTCGCGAAGACGAAGACTCAAATTACATTCAATTATATTCGAATCCCTGTTTCGAATTGTATGTAATAAAAAAAAATAACTGATCATTACTTTATAGCAGAGTATTTGTTTAATTTGTTTAATAATGACGATTTGAATTGCAAGTATTATATAATGAGAAAAAGAAAAAACTGATAAAGTAATATAAAAAATGCTGATATGCATTTCAAAAAGTTGTATTTAAAATTAATGCAAATAACTTATAATATTTGGGCGAAAAGAACCGTTTGTTTTGTCTGTAGTTATTCTGAAATTGTTCCAACAATTTCACTTCAAATAATTTATATACATAAATTATCCAAAAGATGTAAAGTAAATACAGTCATACGTAGGTTAAAGTTACGTCTGATAACGAAGTCCGCTAATGTTTCCAGTAATCACAACTTCCCTGATTCATTGGATCATGGAGTAATTCAAAGATTATTATCTGCATCGAACATTACGCAATTTACTTGAACTAGATGATAAAGAGGAAATAACAATTAAAACTTTTAGAAAGAATTACTCTATTAAAAACGCAATTGAAATAATTGAATAACAATGAATGAAAACTTTCAGAAATTCTTAAATGGAGTTTTATGCAAAAAAAAATGGCCAGAAGTAAAAAAGGTGCTCAAATTAAATTGAACATATTTTATTTTTATTATTCTGATTTAGGAAGAAGTATTATTAAGCAATCAGTGTTAAATGCGATAACGCACGAGAGTTTAATTAAAACAATAGGTAAAATATGTATGCGTTATTAATTAAATATTGGATTTTGAAATAATAATGTCAAAGGTAACTTTGATTTAGTCCTGTATGGTGCCAGGTTTTTCAGTAAGTTTTTCTTTCTCTCTCGCTCTTTCCCCACACACGCCCACGCGTGCAGTGTTACTGTTCAATATGGATGCATCTATTCCGGTTTCTCCCCAGGGGGGATGATTCCGACACAAATCCAATCTATCCGCGATCCGTGCGTGCCCGAATGTATGTGTTTGATGTATTAACTCGGAATTACAACAAAAGCTGTACTCTCTCAATCAGGGCCGTGCGCTCGGCAAAAGCGGTTTTGCATAAATAATAATTCCGTCGCTCCCGTTTCGTCTTTATTGTCGAGAGATGGCGGAGGGCTGTTGGAAGTTTGGCGATTTGCAAGTTGTATGGAGCGTGCGGGGGCGGCGGATGTATTTTTGGGTCAACGAGAGACGGATGCCGTCGCCACCGACGCCGCCACCCCTGACTTACTCATCCCTCTCGCACACATACTCTTTTCCTCTTACTCTCTCGTCGTGTAGAGTCATAATGCATGTGTGTGTAGTCGTAATGAATGGATGGCTGACGTCGTAGACAATTCGCCGCCTTCCATCCGAGAGCGCGAATGCCGCGTGGGCCCGAAATTAATACAAATCGCGTTGTATTTGTTTAAACTTTTTCATACTCGTCGTCTCGTCCTGCATACTCGCAGTAAAAGCGTGGAATGAGATTGAGCTGTCAACGGTGAAATATGGCTTGCATTAAATTAAGCCGTGCAACGAATTGCTTATTAATTCACCGCCGTCGCCGAAAGGGCATTGCATTTATTAACTCTGTAATTTGTTCGTTCTGCTCTTCTGTTTCAGACTAAGGCTCATTTGGACGTCCTCGCCGATGCGCTCCTGCGATGGGCAAGGGGGCGTTAAGCGGTAAACGCAATTCCCAAAACAGCAGACCTCCCCTCCCTCTACAAAGATTAGGTTGTTCTTTTATTCTACGTCCACTTTGCTTTGGAGATGATTAACCGACTACTTTCCGATTGTCTTACTACTTTCAAGTTCATCCTCTGCCATAAAATCATAACTACATGTAATTAGGAAGCAAAGAAAAAACAAAACAAAACTCCGATATCTAATAACCCATTTTTGCGATTATTACAATTATGATTTTATGCCCTTCCCATCGTTGCGAAACCGATGATGACGATCGACGTTCATAGAGAGAAATAGGCACCCCTGAAGCGCCCGAAAGTCAGGTCCGCGCGCCTCAGGGGACAGCCCTTCATAGTTCCCCCAACAGGCCTGACTTTGTATACAGAGAGTTATAAGACTTGTAAAAAAAATAATTAAAAATTGAAGATAACTAAAAAGATTATGAGATGATGATGATAACGTTGAAAATGATAATGGTAACGATGATGATGAAGATGATGAATCTTGACTGCGGTCAGGTGCGGCGAGACAGCCGCGACGCGTCGCCCGTCCGTCCGTTATGTTTTTACTTAATTTATCTCCGATTTCCTTACGTCCCACCAAGTGCATATATGATTTGGCGAGACGCGATTTTCCTCTTGAGAAATGGAGGAGTCTAAGAAGAGGAAGCGACCATCTCGCCGACTATTCCTGACCGATCTCTTTACTTGTAGTCATTCCAATTTACCAAAGAAAACTACCCACATTCCTCAAATTTCAACCGCAAAATCATGAAAAGTATACCGGATCTCTTTTTTACCTTCAGTTTCCCTCCTACTTCGTTCTCGAGACACAATACCCAAGACAGTCGCATTGGTGCTCTGTAGAAGGATTCCTTTTTTACTCTAGAAAGAAAGTTAAGTTTTTTGGATGCGAGAAATGGTGATGATGATGATAAGATGTTAAAGCCTGTTTGTTACAAATTTATCTACTGTTATTGTTATTGGCGTGGCTTCGGGGCGGCGGCTTGGCAGCAACTTGTTTTCGATTTTTCTTAAACAATACTAAGAACGCGTTAAGAGAGGCACTGCGGCCTAGCCTTGCGCCCCTTAAAAATCCCCAACAGATGATCAAATCCGCACCGCAAAAAGGACCCGAACTCGAACTCAGTCCGATCAAGAGATCAAGCACCCTCTAAATATATATAAAAATATATACACATATATACTTAATCTTTAAATATAAGGACAAAAAAAAATCGTAGTTTAAGTAATATTAATGATAAAATGAATGTTGACGTTGAGTCTTAAGCTTTCGGTGTCCATTTCAAAAATATTTAAACATAATTATCGTATTGGAAATAAATGAATGTATTTGTGCATGGAAAAAATATAAAAGATAATCTCTCTAGCACTCTGTAGATTTTAGTCAATGTAAATGAATCTTGATCAGACGCGCAAAATGTTGCTGGTTCGATTTTCGGATCACTTTTGTGGTCGCAGCTGGGTCGGATCAGGAAATACCTTGAGGCTGGATCGTCGCCCGGCCAATAATGTACTGCGATGACTGCAATCTGTTCGGTTTGTTTAACTTCCTGTTCGTTCTTGAAGGTAGATGGAGGAGATGGAGAAGGGTTTTGAATATTTGGCCAGACGATGTCGGAAGGTGGAGACACCACCGCTTCGGAGGTGTTTCCATCCTGAGCCACCGATATTCGCTTCGGCCAAATTTTTTGTTGTTGTTCGGACCAGTTTTGCAATCATTTTCCGGGCGACGATTTTTATGGTCATTTCCTCATCTGCGACCTAAAGCTCACAAAAAATTTGGTACAAATCGATCAAAAAAAATGAAAGAAATCAAATTTAGTTTACTAAATCAACAAGAATCAAACAATTACATCTTAAATTGAGGTTCATAGTTTTAATCTTATAACGGGGATTTTTTCTTAAATAAGAATTTACTTTGAATGCAAATTTCAAATCTACAGAAAACACATTTTCTCTAACTTTATTTGATAAAGAGGTATGGAATTTATCAAAGAAAATCGCCAAATAAGATTGGAATAATTTGAACCTTTAATTAATAGAGTCAAGTAAGAAAAAAAATGAAGAAGTTTTGGGTCTTGACAACAAAAGTTTAATTGAATAACTCTAAGTTAACTTTAGTCGAAAGATTTCCCAAATTATACGTTGGTCGAAAAAATTGAGTTGAAATCAATTCAGTTTATGATCGACATGGGAAACATTCTTTCTTTTCTGAGGTTAAATTGAATCTTCACGGAGAAGATTCTATGGACGTTTCGATTGGGCTTTTCGTGACCCTGCATATGAAGAACGCTTCCATTTAATTATCACCTTTAATGCATGACTAAATTTGGTTTGTTTTGAACATTTTCGATTACATTGGACTGGCGAGATTTGCTATTTTTTTTTTTGGAAATTTAGGGGCGCAAGTCAAGCCCGCGCTTTCCTTTCTTTCCGTTTATCGTCAGGGATGAGCGGCCTCCGCCAACGTTTTTACGCCAAAAAAGGATTCATTTAGTCTTTGCCTAGCTTTAGTTGAATGATGATGAAGAATTCGATTTATATAAATATATATAGTTGTATAATTTACAAAAGTCTGAATCACAAACACTTACCAACACGTTCCATTGTTAATTTATTTATGTAAAAGTTGATGATGATGAATGAGGAATCGAACGCATCGGCCTACACAACTGTTGTACCAACTGATCTCTATGTACTATCTATTATGTATGTGGTTTTTTTTAATGCAATTTCTTGTTTTTTGATTTTGGAGAGGGCGAAATTTTCGATCAGCAGGGGGGAAGGATGGCATTGGCTGACGACACGTCATCGATTCCGGCGACGTCGGCGTCTTCTCGCCCCGAAAACAGTTTTCCCCTTTTTCCGCGCGCGCGAAATCGGTCAATAACCTGGGGGAAATTCGGATGAGCGACGTCGGTGCAACAAACGCACGTCCGGCCTCCGCTCCTCCTCACGTTTTCGCAAAAAACCGCCGCCCCGCGGATACCAGAAAAAGTTACAAATAACAACAAAATAATAGTAACTGAAACTCACTAAAATATTCATGCAAATCTTTGCATTTCCTTCAATTCTTCGACTCAGGGTCATTGGCGGCGTTTCACAAAGACAAAACTAAACATTGGATAAACAAAAAAAATATATATATAAAAAGAAATGATAAGAAAAATAATAAGTGAAGAGAGGACAAAAAAAACAGTTTAGTTAACATTCCTATTTACGTAGTTGTTTAATTCAAATGCTGCACCGCACCAAAAGCACGACTGCACCAGAAAGAAATGAGAAAAGTTAAAAATAAATATGTAAGAACAAATAAATTACTCACATTAAATATGTTAAGCGATTTAACTTTTACAGTTTAGTTCCTTAATCAAAATTAAAAATAAAGGAGCCAATGTGATAAAAAAATGATTTTGTTCTTGGGTTCGCTTCAGTTGATTTGGGCTCCTTAACAAAAAAACAAACAAAGATGAAGTATTATATAGAGTATAGGTAAGAATGAAGTATAGACAAAGCCTTGGCAGAACTCGCGTGCAAAAAATATGATAATTATTCAAGAGAATAAGCGCAGCCTTAAAAAGAAAATAACATAAAATTAAATAACGTGAACTATAAACATTTAACTTTCGTTTATCAAAATTCTCGCAAAATAATTTGATGATGAAGATAATAATAATGATGATGATGAGAAAATATTTTTGTACACGAAGGCCCTTCCTCCCTCGTTTTTCACGCCGACTTACTGAACACTTGTGATATAATTGTATTTAAAGAGAGAGGGATTAATAGTTGATGATGATGATGATGAGTGCTCTTGGGCGCTTACGAAATTCATCGTCCGTTATCCCTAAACCATTCACTATTACTAATTACCAAAAAAAATCTCTTATTTTTTGTGCTCCTTGTAAATAAAGGCAACCGAAGTAATAAAAAAAAGTCATTTATAACCAAAGTAATAATAAATATAAATATATCAATGGGAAATTCGCGCAATAATTTTCGTACAAATTCTTCAAGTAACATTTATTTTTGTTGTTCATTGTTTCGTTTTAAGTTTAAGGAGACCCAAAGTAATAATTAATAAATAAAAAATAAATATATACAAACAAAAACAAGAATATTCACTACACAATAGTAAGGAAAGCTATTATTTATAAATGAATGAGATACAAAAGAAAAGAAACCATGAGAAGATGATTGATTATATAAGATGCACCCCCCACTTAATGCACATAATTGATTGATACAGAAGTATATTTAGAATTAAATACAAAACTAAACAAAAAAATAATGTGAAATCGAAAAGAAAATTTATTTTTTACGTGTTACGTCTATATAAGTTGTCTATATAAATATTATATATATATGTATATTAATGTAAGAGAAAATGTGAAGAAATAGTATATATTATTATTATATAAACAAACAAACAAAAATAACACAAATTATGAGTAGTTGGCTGTTTCGGAAAAAAAAATATAACAAATGAATGTTTGTCGCGCACCCTATTACACATCTACTTTGATTTCTGAATGTTTGTTCGTAAAAGCACAACGCACAAGACGCGGGAATTCCCCGGTTCACACACCCACTCACTCACACACTTTGGGGGACTTGATCCCACTAAGTAAAAAAAAAACAGCAACAATAACACACTACTATTTTTGTTCTTTTTGATTAGATGGAATGTTCCGAGCTCTTTATATATGTGTGTGTATTTCTGACACCCCGTTGACCCTTTAAACACACACAAAAAAAAAGATATGACAAATTTCTGAAATCAAACTCAACAGCAGAAGTATTGACGATTGATAATCCTGTGGCCGGTACATTGCATTTTCGGCGAGAATCCTGAAGATGAAATACAAGACGGCCTAAACTATTTTTATATGTATATGAAGAAGATAACAATGAAGAAAGAAAAAAGAAATATTATTTGATCTCTCTTGATTGCAAAAAAAAAACAAATATTGTTAATTTCTTATATGTTTTCTCTCTCTCCCTCTAAGCAGATTAACGTCACTAGGTCTCAGTTTATATTTGACAGAAAGTATGAAAAGGTAAAAACCAAAATCGTCGCATGTACTGTCCACGCTCTGATCTATCCACTATCCATATTCCCCTTTTTCTTCGAACAAGACAACCGTTTCCATTTTCCGTTACTTAAAAACTAGTTAACACTTAAGTCAATGTAAACTCGAGTTTTTTCCAATTCCTCTGATGAGAAATACTGAATTACATAAATATATGATTATTGCGGAATATTAAGTGTAAAAATATATATATATATTTTATTAGCCCTATTATATATATATGGTAAATAAAAAAATATATATTATAATTATAACTGTATATTATGAAGACGCGTGACAGTGCCACCTTGGTGTGTGACATTCTTAAGAGTATGGGGTTAACAGTTCTATTAAAAAAAAAACTAACAACACATGAAATAAACTGATGATAATGTTGATGATGATAATGAAATAACTAAAGTATAAATATTATTATTATTATATATAAAAGAAAACAATGAGAAGAACTATATTATTATAAAAGTGTACAATTAATGCCTCAGATAATAAAAAAAAGTCTAAAATTAAACTGCGTTTTATTTTCACCCTTTCAATATACATTTCCATATTAAGCAAAATGAGAGGTAAGTTAATAATTACGATAATTGGTATAGTTGTGGATATTTTAACATAAATTAGTATATTATTCATATAAATAAATATAATTGGTTCCTCCAATATCATGCACTGCTTGAAACCGGACTATTTGAAGACTTTAACTTTATAATTTATTTTCGCATAATAAAAATTTAGGTTGGTCTGAAATTTAAATCCGTAAAAGTCTGAACTTGTTTATTTCTAAAAGTTTTTATTTGCCCCTATAACAAATTTAAATAAATACTATATTGAATACAGTACTATAGTGAATCCGCACTGATAGAAACCGCACAATCCGAGGTATGCTGTATAAAAAATAATTTGGGCTGTCCATATTTTGTGTATAGTTGAAAACAATAAGAAACTAAAAACATACTTTAATAAACAAAATATATTGTAAAAATACAGAAAAATGCTACTGACTTTCCGTACAAAAATAATTTATTTTTAATTTCACGCTTTAATGATTCAAAATAATATAAAATATGCGTTATAAGACACGAAGAAACTATTATGATTACTAGTCTCGTCGCACACTCGAACGAGAGCGGACGTATTTTAAACCGTTTCAAGCAGTGTAGTGTATGGAATGTTAAATTGCTGTATTTTGCAAAAAAAAAGAAGCGAAATAAGGGTAGAAAGACAATAGTGGGCTAGGCCCGAATAGGAGAGTCACCCTGATATGGATAGCGACGTTATTTCATTACAACACTCGGTCGGTGAGTCGAGTTATCAGCCGGCCAAAGAAAGACCAAAAACTACTAGCAAAAACATTTCAGGAGATATGCGTGTGATACGAGCTCAGAGTGCGATTTCAGCATTCAAAATTCCACAGATAATGAGAGCGAGAGAGATGTTGAGAAAACAGACAGAGACGAACAGACCTATGGTTTTGACAAAAAATAGATGCCAGGTTTTCAGCAATGAAAACTTGAATATCGAGGACGTCAACAACAACAAAAAGAAGCTATGCCGCCGGATCACGGATAAACAAGTTGCATTAGCTAAATTATTATTTAGTTAATTTTATTTGGAAGTTTTTTATAAAAACGTTACAAAAAAAATATTATTAATAATTCATTATAAATTAATTAGTAAAATAGTTTTAAATAATAATATTTTACATTTTTTACTTTAGGAAAATACAAATAAAATCTCTATCTTTTTTTATTTAGAATAATAGAAGTAGAAAAGTCCCTTAGGTTATAAATTAAATTTCTTTATATTTACACGTTTCACTATAACATTTAAGTATATCTAAAGTATTTATCTACTATAAATTATAATTATCAATAATTGATCAAAAATTATTTCATAAAATAATAGTAAATAGTAAATAATGATTATAGATCTAATTTTATAAATTCAGAAAATACAAAAATAATTCTCTTCTCTGTGTTCAATCTAATTGTAAAATAATTATTGCCTTAGAGCTTAGTATAAATAATTTATTATGTCACTGTGTACTGTTACCTTTTATTCAACAGATGGTTATTGATATTTTGTAAATTGCTAGAACATTAACTTCAATGATGTTTCATAGTTAGAGTAGTTAGGGTTATTAAGCCTCGAAGTTCTGGTCTTTAGAACCTAGTGAATATTCCCGATTGCGCCCTAAATAGAAATCTTCATAGCTTACTGCAATCCAACGAGGATCATACTACGAGAGAGCTCATTTGAATATTCAAATACACTTTGTTCAACCAACTATGATTATCTCGTCACGTCGTGAACCAAAAAATATAATTGAATAAGAATCAACCTAAAAATAATTATATATAACAGTAACATATATGATAGTAATAGTATTTATTTAAGTTTCATAAATACTTATGCATTATGGTTTTATAAGGCAAATAAAAACTTTTAGGAATAAACAAATTCAGACTTTTACGGATTTAACTTAATTTCATTAGATTTTTCCTTTTCTAAGTGTTCAAATGCATTTATTTTTTTAAACAAAACCTGTAATAAATCCTAGCTTCACTATATAAATTAACATTAAATAAAAAGTATTCTTCTTAGGGTAGTTAACATATTTACGGACTTTTTGTTTTATAATGAAACTGAAATTATAGAGTCATTTTGATAATGAGAACAAAAACAATATTATAATTAATTAAATAATAGAAATTAATAGAGTATAAATAATAAGTATATTTATTTTCATATATGCGGTTAAACCATAAGGATACGAGTCCCACTAATATTTCTCTAACTTTTTTTTTTCTTTTATGTAGTATAATTTTATTCACAATCTGTTCATCAATGTGAACATTGAGTAAATTTAATTTTGCGGTTGACATTAAATGGATAATCTTTCCCGGTGGATAATGGTAACTTTATGATGATTTTTTTAATTTGTAGATTGGCTGTCGTCTTGTAGGTTAACTTCAGTAGTATATTGATTCCACTATTTTCTTTGACTGTGAATCTGCAGCTATCCATTTGTGATGAATGATGGCCTTAATGCTGCAAGCACCTAGAGGGCTCACAATGAATTGACCAGGACTCAAACCAGCACCCTTAACCATTCGGCTATTAGTCGCCCTCTAAAACCTTACCTTGACAAAATATTTTTCGTTGCCCTTGACCGCAACTGTTTCTATTATCAGTAGCTGCCACTGAGTGTAATGTTTTTTCTTTTTTCAACATTAGTTTTTTGTAATTTAGTTATCCGTCGTGGTATATTTTATGTATGAATGTCTGATTTCTATTACGATAGGGTATCCCCTACTTATTTTAATCAAACAATCTTACGTGCATAAAAAGCGATCCGAACATGGGAATCGATCAACGAATGGAATAAATCATTGATTGAAAAAGTTCTCAAAACTCTCATGTTTATCCACAATCGAATGAATGTATAATTTTTTTAATTTACATATCAGCTATTGGAATTTTGACAAATAGAAAAACACTTTTAGTTTTAAACACTTTACACGTAATAAGAAATAATTAATTACTAATGGTTTTAGCGCATTCACGGATAACTCATGCATAAACGCCCGATTGGCCGTTATTGTTATATAACTGGCCTAATAATTGTAATTTAAAACAAATAGTACGTGCATATGACAATGCATTGTTGTGGCCAAGCATTTCACTATTATGATTATTGATGTATATACTGATTGTTCTATTTTATTGCCACTCTAAATATAATTGCACCATAATAAGTGCATCAAAATTATTAGGCAAATATCCTTTTAAGGTATTTATTTAGAACTACGAATAACTAAAGAAATAATTAAAAGACAACACCGCAGACGAATTATTACTTGTAAAAAGTGGTAACAAAACTCGTCAGAAAATAATTATAGAACTTGTAGACAGCAACTTTGAAATATTATGCAAACTAAATTAAAGTAAATACTAGTAAATAAATATAAAAATTCCAAGTAATTGTAATATTCTTTCTATATCGCTTATTTTAATTTAGG